ACCAAACTGGCATTTTAATGTCTTAAGCCAGCCCATTTGCTATACTTGGCCATTGATCTTGGCTGGGAAAGTTCTATACCTAATTTAAACACATTTTGGAGATAAAGCCATATAATGGGAAAGTGATAGGATTTGGTTTTGTTAAAAATACTCTCCTTTTAACTGTTACGATTATATCACAGGGTTGGAGACAGGTTGTGGTGTGTCCTTACAGAACTTCCTCAGAAATGTTGTGTCCACCTTCCTCACAGGTGACTCTGGTGTAATTTACCTTGGCAATTCCCCTGCTGGTGATTGCAGCTCACACAGAAGAATGTTATTGAACAGACATGAGAGAGAGAGAGTTTAGTTCAGTCTTTGTTCGGTGGGATGATCTGAAAAGCAATTGTTGGGGAAGATAGTACAGTTTGGGAGTACCTGTGCATTTAATGAATCCCTCTGGAAGGCATGTGAAAAGATGGTTGATAGAGGCACTGACTCCGAAGAACATGCTTAAAATCTCATTAATTTCAATTGGCTGTATAGGTGCTTTTAATTACTATGCTTGAACTGAGATTTAATATGGCACAGCAATAAAAGAAGTAATTATGACTACCCAACTAATCACTAAAATGGCATCACCCTCCACTCCCCCAATTTTTCCAACAAAGCTGAACATAGAAACCACATGCTTAAAAAAAAAAAAAAAAAAAGGAAAAAAATGAGGAAAGGAGGCAGAGCTTGTCCTGATTTCATAGGAGCACCAGCATGTGTGTGTTGGATGTTGGGTGTTTTAAAAAAACACTTCTAAACAGCAAAAGAATAGGCAACGTGTAATCTGTGATTTCCTGAGCTTGTGGCTCAGGAAATGAGTGCTGACCTGTGCAGGATGGGCACTGTGTGGCCTTGAGCCATGAATATGTGCCAGGCAATTGTGGAATGTTCCCATCAGGGTGTGCCAGCTTGGTCTCCTTCCTGAGTTTTAACTCCTCTGTGCAGCTAGGAAAGGATGCAGGGGAAGAGGAATCTACCCACTATCTGTATTTTCTTTTCAATTACTGTGCAGTTGATGGAATATCTAACTGGTGCATTTTTTGGCTACTGTTGTACATTAGAGGAGAGATGGCAGCCTGGTAATATTCAGCGGAGTCTCATGTGAGTGGAAATGTTTCATATCTGCTGTTTTCAATGCAGTTTTACTGAAAGCCCTTTGGAATTTGAATGAACCATTCTGGGATGTGATTTTCAAAACAGAAGTCTCTAAAAACTGAGCAAGTAAAATTTTCTCGACGCTGCTGAGCTAGTGGTATTGGTAATGGTTCAATTAAATTGAAGTGCCCACATTCATGGAATAGGTGTGCTTCTTTATAAGTATCCAGCCATGTTTGAAAAGACAAATCAAAACCTGGTGAGCAAGAATGAAGGCTGATTTACTGATGGACATAATTGCCTTACCTGGATTTAAGGGAAGGGAATTTATTTTGTAGAGAAAAAGAGAACATTGAAGATAATTAGTCATGAACCAAAAAAATGTGGTGTTAGCTGATGTTTTATGTTGAAAAAGTAGTAGTAACACAGCATGAGCGTTGGAATTGGCATCTGAGGTGAGATTCAGAATAAAATCTGCAAAATACTGAACTACTGAACAGTATTTCTACTGTGGCACCATTTATTCAGGATCTCTTTCTCTGTCACTGGATATAGGCAACAAGAGTTCTGCAAATGCCTAAGCTGCTATTCATAGATGATTCCCTCTGTCTTCTGAGCTGGAATGTTCAGAGATGGTGAGGTTTATATCCATGAGGCTGTGTGTTCACAGTGGGGAAAAAAAACCTTAGTGAATGTTGCTGCAGATTTACTTTAATGTAGATAAACTTGAACCATTGGATAGAATCATGAGCTGCCATGAAAAACAGGGTGATACTCTGCCCTTCCCATCAACTTCTTTTTTATGGAAAAAGAACATGTAAATAAACTGTTGGCCTTTCTGACCAGAAGATAGCTGGTATACAAACCAGTCTTGCTGAAATTATATCTCAGCTGGAAGGAAAGATGAGTTTATTTTATGTAGCAGTTGGAGGAAAGTTCTTAGAAATATTCAGTCAGTCAGTTACCAGAGTGGTAAATTAAATCTCGAGAGCCAGAGCTCGCTCATCAGCACGCAGTGATATGGAAGTGCAGGCAGCTGCATCAGGTCTGGGGGTTTATGTTCCTGATGGAAAAGTGCAAATCATTTCCTTCTCTTCTGCTGCTGTCATGGTCCATCACTTTAGTCCATTTTCACCTTGCTAAGGGATTCTGAATGGGCCTTCCTGCTTTGCCATCTAATTAATCTCTCACAAGCCTGTTCTTGCAGCCTGGCTGCCTGGGATGGTCCATATCTTACATCAGTGCCTCACAAACAAAATATTTTGCTTTCCTTCCCCCTCCTTCCTTTTCCTGTGCTCTTTCACCCTGAGCCCTCTCAAGCATGTTGAAGATGCTCTTCTCCCCCAGTCTTTGAAGAGGACAGACATATATGCTTTTACTGCAGGAAGGTATCCCCTTTGGTTCTAGTGGTATGTAAGGTTGTTTTCAAAACTAGTAAGTGCCCAAAAAATACACAGCAGGATTTTCCTTGTCAGAAACTGTTCAGCAACTCAAAGTCTTTACAGTGTAACAGGCAAGCAGGAAAACATTGGGCACCTTTGAAAAATGGCATACCTATAGACAAATAAAGGTGTAACATCTGAGATGAAAAAGGCATATTCTCTGGTGTAAAACATTGCCATGAGTCTCTGAAACAAAAAAATTACTGTATTGAAGTTACTTTATTGTCATAGATCAAGTGATCGTGAATATCAGATACCTTGTGCACTGAGCACTAGCAGCCACAATACTTTATGACTAGTTTAAAATGAGTCCTTGTGATAACACATGTAGGCTATATAGCAGATAACACTGGATAGTATAATGTATTAGCTATAATAGAAAAAACATAGATTCTGTGAAATGATACCAGTGGAATCTAATATTTCTTTGAAATCTATATCCTGGGTAATATTTCTACTCGGAAGCTACTTATCTCCCCCCTGGCCTCCCTTCTGTGGGGACAGGCTTGGTGTTCAGCTCAGCACAGCGGATGGTTCCTGGCTGGGAAGTGGAAAAGCAATAAAATAGGTCTGAGAAGTCTCTGTGTTAGACCAGTGATCAGGGTGGTGTCCATCCAAACCTTGCAGCTCTCCTGGCCTGCACCTGATCTCTAGAAACTCATCTTCTGTGCTGTTGATACAAAACCCGCAAGAGCTCCGAGAGTCTTCTGGTGACATACAGGCAGGAAAAAAAAAAAAAGGGAAAAAAAATCACATCTTTAATTCCTCCCTTCTGACAGCTTCCTTAATAAATTTGGTAAGAAATTTCTCTGTTAAGAGCCACCCAGTAATCCAATTTGCAAGCCCCAATGATATATTCAGCAGCCAGCTCAGGGGAGGTGTGTTTCTACTGTCAGAATCACAGGAGCAGGGAATAAAATTCTGAGCTCTCACTGAAAGCTGCAGTAATTTACGATGAGTTGTTGGCTTTAATTTTTTCATACTATTTTTGACTCAGCTGAACAAAGAGGATAGAACTGCTACTGACTTTACATTGATTAGTTTTTTCCACAGTATGCTCACCTACCTGTATGTTTTCACAGGATATAATAATACAGACACTGCACATTTATTTTTACGTGTATCCAAAGAAATCATGGAGTGAGACCTGAATCAGTGTGGGCAACTCTTGTGTACAGCCATAATGACTGATAAATACCAGTTCACTTCAACTGTCTCCCCTCTTGACCTGCTTCTCTAGGAGTTAAGCCTTTGCTGTTCTGTTCAGTTTAAATAATCCCAGATTTGTTTGTTACCTTCTGTGTAGTCTTGGTAGGGCATCCTTGGGCTCTTCCTTCTCTTCTCTGGGACTCCAGTTTAAGGAACGTTCTGGTGCATACACAGAAAACAAAGCAAAACCTAAAAAGCTTTCACAAGATCATAGGCTGTTTTGTGAGAGAATAGATTCTCTACAGCGGTGTCATCGTGGCTGTGTGTCTGTTCCTTATGATGGGAGAAGCTTCCCATCTGTATCAGGTTCGTACTCTCAGTGAGAAGGATCAATAGTGTTGTCTCAGAAATAAAGTCATTAAAAGAAAACAAAACAAAAAGGTAAGAAAGCAAACAAAAAGCTCTAGGGTATTGCTTCATGGCTGATGGACTGGGAGAAGGTGCAGTAGTTGGGTGTCTTCAACCTTGAAAGAACTTTCAGAACCATTTCACAAAGTAATTCCTTTTGAGCTGTTGTCAGTTCATGCTAAGTACCTTGATTCTTGGGGTACACCTCTGTTCCCTCACATCTGCTTTACAAACAGAGAGCTTATAATGGCTACTGGTGTGCTTGATCCATGGTAAGAGACCTCTTGTTCAGGGACAAGGGATCTTGGGTGTCCACAGTGACAAGACTTTACTCTCCCAGGCATCACTGAGTTTCTAGAAACCTTTCTGAAGACCTTGAGAGAAAAGTAGGATTTCCAGCACTCTCTAGCTTTCTTCAAGGTGCATGTTGACACAGTCTAGTAGGTTTTTCAGACCCTTTGTAAGCAAGAAGGAATATATCTTTGAAAGAGAAATGGTACTGTCCCTATCCTACCTTTTCATTCATATTCCCTTTAAACTCTACATCAGTGAGGTTTCTGAGGATGCACCCAGGAAACATCAAGTGGTGCTTTCATTGAGGCTCCTTAGGATTGAATCTTTTAAAACCTGCTTCTTCATTTCTTTTTGCCTTTCACTATAGCCTTCATTACTGGGAAGCAAACACCAGCTGATGGGGTTTTATTGTTGCCCCTGTGGTGTAGTGCTTGGGTGATGAATAGCTGTCAATGTTCGGTGTTTCTGGACAGTAGCTGGGGAAGAGAGAAGAAATGTGTCAGTCATTTACCTGAACTTGTCTGCTGTTTTTATTCCCCTGAATGGCAAATGCTGTATTTCTGTTATTTTCTTTTGCAGTGAGAGGTGCAGATACACGTTGCGTGGCCATAAAGATTCAGTGAACAGCATTGAGTTCCTTCCCTTCTCCAGCACCGTTCTCACGAGCTCTGCTGACAAGACTTTGTCCCTCTGGGATTCCCGAACGGTAAGCAGGCTTTTCCTCGGTCTCTCCTGAATTCAGGCAAAGCGGTGGTGTGGATGGTGTAAGGAAAATGAAAGCCAGGGTAAAATCAAAATAGAAAGTAAGGGGTGATGTGGCCATAGAATGTTCACTGACACAACTGTTGTCTTCTGACTAAAAATATCACCATAATCCCTTCCCTGGCATCTGAAATGACGGAGTCATCCCAGTGCAACAAACGGACGTGGGTTGAGATCACCCAACACACGGGTAGCTGGATTAGGTGGTGGTGGTTTTAGCAGCTGATGGTCTGGGTCTGCAAGACTGCAGTGCTGCACACTGTGCTTTGTCAGTTCAACAAACAGAGAGCTCAGGGTCAGATTTGTTGAGTTTCTCTCAGCTTCTTTTGTCAGCTTGCTTACAAAAGTCCTGGCGTGTACTTTGAGTCACATACAAAGGAAATGGGGGGAAAGTGCCTTAGGAGAAGCACAAGAAGAGAGAAATACAAGAAACCATATAGAAGTGTAATATATTTATTCCTCTTCTAGAAGGGATCTGCCTCCCTGCCTCCAGAACTCCCTGCTGATTCCTCATGGAATATGTATTATTGTCTCCATAATATACCCCTGTAGATAGTGACAGAAACTCTGCATCTCTTCCTTTATTCTTCTCTACCTTCATTCTGTGGTATAGGTATTCATGGATTGAGTGCATTGCAGAGTGTATTTGTCCCTGCTGCTTTGCAAACCAAATATGCAAATCCTGTTCAAGTAGAATATGAGAACAAGACAAGAAGAAGTTTTTCCTGTTTCAACAGAAAATGTAATAATTATTGCTGCAGTTGTGGTATTTCTCATGGAGCAACTTTTGAAGTTCTCAAATTGTTCCTTCAGTTGGTATTATGGCCACTTTGCACTCAAACATTGTAAAGATACAAGATTCCAGCCCAGAATAGAGAAGGTTGTATTAATGGAAGGGATTTGAGAAGAAGTAGGCAAAGACCTATTGCTCTGTATTAATAGGTGTTGTCATCAGATCTATACAAATGTAGGATAAGAAAAACTGCCATGAAAATGACAGATGAATACTTGAGATGCTCATTAGGCAAATTCTATTTATGGATCTTAGAAACAGACTGAATAGAAGGTCCTCTAATAATAATAATAATAATAATAATCCTGGGCATAAAGCACTATGAGTTAAAATGAAGCTATTCAAGACTCATTATTCTTACACACATTGGTTTGTAAGAATATATGATATCCAAATATGAATAATTCAAAAAGAGGGAAAAAAATCATTGAAATACAAACAAAAGCAAAATACTTAGTGAAAAAATAGATTTCTGCTTTGTTTTGTTTTCAATAAATTCTGCAGTGAACTTTATCTTGCAAATGTCTCAGTAATCTCCTGCTCATAGCAAATTAAGAGTCATCAAAGAGTTTTCCTTTGATAAACTCAGGGAGAAACCCTGCTCTGTATTTGCTCATCAGCATTGTTTTTCAGCTTTGGGTAATTTTGCAAAGATAGGAAGGACCTTTTGTGAAAAGAAAACATTATATATGGCATTTGGGTGTATGTTTATTCTGTTGAATTTTTCCCCCGTTCAGTGGGAAATCTTGCAGATTTGAGATGTGTGCCCACACTGAAACACTACTTGAAGTGGTGAAATCACTGTGAAGATGCCACCTCCTTCTAAATGCTGAATGATATTAAATGTTCCCTCCAGAAAGAAGATGAATTATTTTCTCCCATTAATTCAGAACAGAGTATTTTCTCACCTCTGTGAGATCAATTAACATTAAGGAGTACATTTAAGATAATTTTAATGAAACATGAAAACCATACTCTGGTTTGTTTTCTCATAAATTAGATTCCTATTACTAATCACATCTTGCTCTTCAATCATTAAGTTTAGTCAGCTCTTTATTATTAAAGATAATGGATACAGAGAACTGTAAGTCAAAGCAGTGTAAGTTGAATGGACAATGAGCTCTGGATTTGGGGCAGAATGGAACATAAATCTTTGTAATTACTAAGCTGAAGGTATAATGCAGCCTGCAGACTTTGGAAACGCAGGGAGTTACTTTTTCCTCTTTTTTTTTTTTTTTTTTCTGGCTAACATATAGCAAGATCTAGTGGTTAAAAATATCTGCAGCACATTGGCTATAATTTTAAACCTGAGATATATGTTGCCTATAGGGAAATGAACACACAGAAAGATGAATAGTACTTGGATGATTATGGCTCTTTGCAAACATTCTGGGAGAGTTACGGGTACGGTGTTGGATTTGGATGGGAACCATCCTCCTGCTGTGCCAGCCGTGCAGTAGATGAGATGGAGGAGGCCGAGGCTGCAATTCATGGTAGGAATCTCTTGCCAGTAGAGCTGACGGCTCTCGTGCCAAGATAAGCTGCGGAATTTATTCCTCTCTCTGCCAGTTTCATAGAAAGACAAGCGCATTCTGGCTTTTCACCAGAGGATTTTCTCGCTGACACATCAGAATAAGCATCTCCACTCATGAATTGCAAAGTGTGGCCAGTGATAAATGTGAGAGGGGCGGGGGAGCGCGTGACCCCCAGAGCACAGGTTCACCTGCCCGAGTTAATTCTCCTCGTGATAAGCGCCCTGCCACTCGTCTGCATCTCCCACAGGCTGGGCAGCAACTTCTTGGGGCTGCTCAGATTTCTCTGCATAACGTTTGAGCCAAGCTGCATCTTTCTGAGACAGATAAAATACCAAATATTTATACACTTAAATAATTAAATAGAGGGGGGAAAAAGTACTCACATTTTTCATTCTACACATTTGAAACTTATTGATTTAGTAACTATCTCATCTGCTTTCTGATTTTTGAAATGTCAGGTTCTGTAACTGGATATTTCATTTCTGAAATGTGGAGAGACTGTCATTTTAAAGGCAGCATTCTGCAGTAATACCCCAAGGAATGTGTCTGACAAGGATTTGGGAAGACGTGTGTGTGCTTAACCAGACAGTCCCATTCACAGCAGTGACACTGTTCTCCTGAACCATGTTCAGCACATGCACAGCTCTGTAAAAAGTTAGCCATGCAATGCTCTTTTTCTATTTGATTTTGTGAAATACTAAGCATTTGATATATTGTTTGATAATTCTTGTCCATCTTGGTCTCTACTGGTCACTGATATTCAAGTTTATTGTTTTAATTATCCAGGAGATATTTCTAACTTCATGCAGTGTAGCCCAGTGATTTAAGATGAGCCCCATTTTTCTGCAATCCTCTTGCAGAAGATTGCTGTGTAACACAAATGATAAGATCCCATTTCCACCCCACTATCAAACTCATATCCCTGACATCCAGACAGGAAGGCATCAAGGATGTCAGCTTTTTACTATTTGGGTCAAAGATGACTCGAATTGGGGTAAGACAGTGCAGCAGAACAGTGACCAGAGCCGAGTTCTGGCTCTGAGCAACAAATTTTGTCCTTGACAGTAATTTGTGGTCTGAACAGCCGAATCAAGAGCTGGAAGCTCCAAGGTAGTGTAGTTCCTGATGAATAATGCAGGCACCAATTTCAGAGGAAAAAGGAAAAAACAGAATGAAATTGTCCAAAATCCTGCCTGAACAGCAGCAAATAGCTCCCAGTAATAACTCATTGTCAGTGAGCCAGAACCTGGCTGTGGCCATCAGGCTCCTCAAAGACTGCTGAAAAGTCTCCTCCTGCCCCAAAGCAAGGAAGGAAAGTGGGAATCCAGGCAGAGGCTCCTTTCAGGCTCCTGCAGAGGTGGGTAAGCCCCTGGAAATGGTTCATGAGTGTGGTGCAGCCACACTTTATACAGCAGGGCTGGATGGACCCTTAGAGCTACATTACACTCAGAAAAAGACATTAGGAAGAAATAGTGAAAAGAGAGAGAGGCAGCTGGGTGCTTCTTTAGGGCAGAGTTTTGTCTTCAGATGTGACACTGGATTAAAAGGGTTCTTACATACAGCCCTTTTAAAAGCATTGTTTCCTAATAAACTGAGACTTCTCTACTCACAATGTGCTTATCATTTTTTTTGCTAGCGGCTCTTGAGTATTAGCTGAGGGTTGACAGAGTTTCCATGCAGTTAGATCCCTGGGCAACAGCAGGGAACCTAAGAGAATGCCCCACCTGGTAGGAGAAGAGGCCGTGGGTGCATAGCCCTGCTGCCAGGCACCGCCTTTCCCTCAGCAACCCCCCACCGGTGTTCCCCAGAGTGTCACAGGTGAGATACTGCCTGGGGCTTTTCTTGCTTTGCTTGTCATGATCTACCCCACAGACTCACAGAGCCTGGAACAATCTCTCTGTGCTTTCAAGGCACAGCACAGTAAATCCCCAGGAATTCAGGGCGCTGGAATTTGCATTTTTGCGGTTTGTCAAAGGGCTGCGGCTGGAGGCACCGAGATCATTTGAGGACAGTGGCCATTTCAAAGGGCTTGCACACTGTGTCCTACCAGAGAGTCAATAAATACGTGGGCATGGCAGTTTTGGAGCTGTCAGCTGAGGTTGCCAGCTGTGGTGCAGCATTTTAATGATGAGGACTTGGCTGCCCCTGTGCTTCATATGGATGTAGAATAATTGCAACAATGCTGATCTAAAAGCTGCAGTCTTGCAATTTTTCCCTTCACAATACAGCCCATCTTCTCCCACCTTGCTGTGGTTCCTGTTGCAACTGGGCAGAGCCTGAAAATTAGTTAATTCTTGATTCAATTCAGTGGAGTTGTTCCAAACCAGTGATTTCCATAGATAACCTTTCTTTAATTTTATTCTAATGAAGTTATCTTTTAGACCACTTGTTTTTTAGTGTTGATTTTGTCTCTATTTAGTAGTTTTAAAGTTAGTAATTCCCTGAAATATCCTGTTCTATTTTTGTTTCTTCCAGTGAAATATAAATTATCTTTTAGACTACTTGTTTTTCAGCATTGATTTTGGCACAACTTTTTTGTCAGTGGATTTAAAGCATATGGGAACACCTAGATGTTTGCAGGGATGCTGCCTGTCTATGGTGGGGGTTTTTATGCCT